CCTGTGTTTTTAGGTTTATTAACGAAGTTCGTGTACTCAGACCCGTAATATTTGGGGTCACAAGTTTTTGCTATGGATATTTTGTGGGTCAGAAGATCAAAAGTTTGAAAACCACTGGATTAGAGGATCAGGAAATGGCACAGTTTAATCCAACTAATGCTATTCCTCCATGGCTATTTCCTGAGGTAAATGTAGACATGAGACTTCTTAAAATGAAAAATGATTGGAATTTAAATGAAATAGAGGTAAAAATAGATGTATATCTAAGAAACTCATATAGCAATTGTCTTAAAATATATTCAGATGGTTCTAAAAACACAAAAGAATGTGTGGGAATAGGAATATTTATTCCAGAGCTTAAAATATATATATTTCTAAACGTTTATCAGGTCAACTATCTGTATTTACAGTTGAAATGGTGGCAGTCATAATCAGTTTGTAATGGGTAGAGGAGGTTTGACCAGACAGGGTGGTGGTGTGCACAGACTCCAAAGCAGTAATTGAAAGTATTCAAGGAAAAATAAATAATAAGTGGTGGCATAGATATTTGGTTTTGTTGGGTACCAGCACACGAAGGAGTAAAAGGCAACGAAAAGGCAGATGAATTATCAAAAAGGGCTTTAGAGGGGCATTTACAATTAGAATGCCTTTTGGGAAAGGAGAAGGGAAATCAGCAATTAAGAGTAAAAAAATAGAAATATGGCAAAAAAAAGGTGGAATGAAGATGAAAAAGGAAGGAGTTTATACAAAATACAAAATTCAGTGTTAATTAAAAATATTAGTGAAACAGAAGAGAAGAAATAATGATGAGATTAAGAGTAGGTCATAACTATTTAAATGATATTTTATATATAATTGGGAGGACAAATAATGATAAATGTAAAGGATGTGGAGAAAAAGAACATGTTGATGTAAAATATACGAGCTAAAAGTGAGATTGAGAAGGATAATGAGGAGGACGGACAGGAATGGAGTTTAAAGGGTAAATTGGGAACTGAAGGAAACATAGTGGATATTTACAGATTAAGGAAAGCATTATTCAGCTATCTGTGATAAAATATAAATTAGTATTGCTACTAATGCTTTTATAAGATCTAGATTTAAATTTGACACTGCAGGATGTTCATTTTGTGATGAGGATGAAGAGGATATAGATCATCTTTTTCACTGTAATACCACTCAATAATTCTGCACAAATAAATGGAGATGTCTCCAAGAAAAAGGAAAACAACTTCCACCTTTTAACTACTGTAATAATAAAATTTGGTATTTACAGTCTTAATTCCGAAATAGAC